AGGACACTCCCATCGGATTTATGGTCCTCTTTAACCCAGTGTGATCTTGTCTTGATCCTTATCTGTAATAATAAAAGTGTAATAGGCAAATTAACCAAACGACCGAACAGCAGAACAACTGTCTGGATGACCTTCCGGATGACCATGCTATGACACACACTGGTGCCAGGCCAACCAAGGTGGGTGCAATGTGATTGGTTGGTGGGCCCCACCATTGCTCCACAATCACGCCACAGAGGGAGGCCCATGCCACTGGCCAGCGGGGTGATCAATTGGGGGTCGGGGGGGGAGCTCCGCGATTGCCCAACAGAGGGAGGCCCAGGCCACCGGCCAGCAACGCTGTGGCGGGTGTGCATGGCCGGCCAGCGATCACCCCGCAGAGGAAGGCCCAGGCCAGCCAAGTGATCGCACCCCATGCCTGTCACCCACAGAGGGAGGTGACCGGTGGCAGGGGATGGGGGCAGCACCGCACAGATGGCAAGCAGTGGCAGCAGCAGGGATGGGGCCAGCTGCCAGCAGATGGGGGAAAGAAAGCCCTGATAGGCCCTGATCCCCAGCCAGGCCTAGGGACCCTACCCGAGGGGTCCTGGATTGTGAAAGGGCGTAGGCCTGGCTGAGGGACACCCTTCTTCCTGTGCACAAATTTCATGCACCATGCCTCTAGTCTATATATATAAAAGCCTAATACATGAAATGTCCAACCTTTGACCAGTTCGCTATGATGTGCACTGACCACTATGGGGCAGATGCTCTGACTGGTAGGTTAGCTTGCTGCTGGGGTCCGGCCAATCGGGACTGAGCGAGACAGATTGGACACACCCTGGAGCCCTCCCGCAGTCCCTCTCCGGCCCCGATCATGCACTGGTGGGGTCCCTCGGCCTGGCCTGCACCCTCTTGCAAGCCATGCACTGGGCCTCTAGTTGTCATTATATTTGCAAAGAACCTTTTTCTTTACAGCAGACGTCACTCTCTGAAATTATCTGGTTGACTTGTTTTCTGTTTTTCCTCCACTAAAATATAAGCTCCAGGAGAACAACAACCTTCCGTACCTTGTCCATTGCTTATGCCCAGTGCTGACAACAGTGTGCACTCGCTATGACGTGCGCTGACCACCAGGTGGTGGTGCAGAACGAAGGGAGGCCCTGGCTAGCAGCTGGAAGGCCCCAATTGGCCCTTATCACCGGCTAGGCCTAGGGACCCTACCTGGGCACAAATTTCATGCACTGGGCCCCTAGTTTTCAAATAAGGTCACAGTTTACAGTTCTAAGTGGACATGAACTTGGGGGAGGGGGATGTTACTCAATCCACTACCCTGGGGTTGGCATGGCTGTCTCAGGTGGATGTGGCAACAGGGAAAAAATGCTAACTTGGGGAGAGAGAATATGAAAAAAGTTGTTTGGAGAGTCAGAAGAGCAAAAAAGGGAGAAATTGGCAAAGAGAATAGAATGATGGGTGTGAGAGAATGGGAGGCAGTGACCAGATGACTGGGATATAAGTAGGGGAGAGTATGAGTTTTAATGAGAAGGTGAAGACAAAAAACAATACTGAGAAAGGGGGAAGTCAACTTCTGTCTAGATTTCTGGAGATTGATTTGATTAGAAAGGAATGAGAATAAATTGCAGGCAGGGCTTTCTAAACCCACAAAGACTTTCTGAGGGTTTTTAATTATAGTTATCTGCGAGGAATCTCAACAGAGACAAGTTGAAATATGAAGTTGTTTTTATTTTCCTCCAGTCATTCCATCAACTGGATTCTGAAATTCTCCTGTTCTTATCATAACCTTAATGATATCATGAATAGATTTCATTCCTCTCCAGTTCGTTTGAGTTATTAATCGTGCAATCTAGTTTAGTATGTTTAATCTCCAACTCCACCTAAAGTGCTTTGTCTTTCCCCATATCAGAGGCTAGGCTTGTAGCTCAATCTTGATGTATATATGGGTGGGATTGGGTGCGGTCAACCTGAAATACACACTCCCTGCTCCTCCCTTTCCCAGATCTAACTTTCTGATGTGGAGAACAGGAATGAGAGGTAGGAAGGCAGATATTCTTTTTGATGATTGTGTTGGTTAAGGTGCAGGATAAGCTGCTGAACAGGGAAACCCCAAAGCACATGGGCTTCAATAAAATATAAATTTCTTTCTTTTTAAAATAATAGATTAAATATAGTCAGGTCTAAGATAGGTAGCTGTCTATACTATGCAAAGTTATGCAAGGGTTCAGGTTGACCAGTTGGCTCTGTTTCTCATAGCTTGTCTTTTCTTCTGATCTCCATTCCCCTTGATATGGAGTGGCAAGAATGAATGGAATTCTCTTGTACTTTCTCTGAGTACACAGTCCAAAGGTGGAGATATACCACTTTTCCAAGGTACATGACACCACAGTGTCCAAATGCCTATGAGCAAGGGTTACTCTACCAGTCTCTCTGCTTACTTATACTTCTGAACTCCCAGGGCACATGTAATGTTCTCTAAGACGGCTCAGATAGGGACCACTTTCAGCAGAAGTAGGTGTCCTGCATATTTCTGCATCAAAACAAGCATCCATTTAAGGATAGAGATGTCTATGCTCCCTGTCCAGTCTCAGTGAGTGATTCTATTGGTATTCTCTCATCACTTGGTTTGAGAAGGAAGGAATGCCACCTCTCCCATTGGCAGAAGAGGGCAGAGTCTTACATCACAAACACGGGTATCCCAAAGCTGCTGACACTGCCACTGCCCTCCCCAGCATTCTTAGGTGGCTGGGAAATGTGAGGGTGAGGTGGTGGCGGGGATGGCACTGTCTGGTTCCATGGCTTTTTAGAATGCCCCAAGGGAAGAGCTTGGTCCCAATTGCTGGCAGCTGCCTTAGAATATGAGGTATATTACACTTCCTGGTTCTTGGTTTTGGACCCACGTCATAGGGAAAGTTCTAGTCAATACCCTATTATGTAATCAGAACCAACAGATGGAAAGGGAAAAGGAAATTGTTTGTAAGCTATCGAATTACATGACCGATGAGCAACGTAAAAATATATCCTAAATTTGAATTAAATTTATATAACATAAATTAAAAATATATGATAAGCTCTGGTCAGGTAGCTTAGTTAGTTAGAGCCTCCAATACACCAAGGTTGTGGGTTCAATTCCTGGTCAGGGCACATATGAGAATCAACCAATGAATGCATAAATAAATGGAACAACAAATTGCTGTGTGTTTTTTTCTCTCTCTCTTCCTCTTTCTCTTTCTCAAATCAATAAATAAAAATGTAAATATATATATGATATATAGTAACAGAAGAAAAGGCAGAGAATAATGGTATGAATTTATGTTTATTGGTTCACAAAGTCCACTTAATGAAACATAGCCTAAGGAAATAATTTTTCACACACATTCTAAGGAAATACATGGACATGTTGCTTTTTGCAGTGATTATAATAACAAAAATTGAGAACAACCTAAATACCCAACAACACAAGGCTGGTTAAGTGCATTTGTTAAAATACTTAAAAAATACCTTATAAATAAAATGGAATATTTATTCAGCCAGTAATAAAAGTTGTAGATGAATATTTACTGACATGAAAAGATATTTATGATGTTTTATAGATTAAGAAAATCAGATTGCAAAACAGTATATATGGTATAATGGTGTGTGTGTGTGTGTGTGTGTGTGTGTGTGTGTGTGTGTATGTAAATTGGTACAAACTCTCTGATCAGCAATTTGGCAGGAAGCGAAAAGAGCCTAGCCTACATGGAAAAGTCTGCATGGTTGCTACAAAAATGATATTGATATCTCTATATGGTGAGGTTATTATTGATTTGACACTTTTTTCTTCTAATTTATTTATATTTTCTGATTTTTCCTCAGTAAACACATTACTTGGATAATAAAAAATTAAAATAACTAAAAAGTATGTCTTGGAAGAAAACATGCATATGTTTCTTTGACCTTGTTATGGTTATGAACTTTCTAAACTTAAAAGCAATGTAGCAGTGGTCTGCTGGAGCTGGTTTGTACAGATTTGTGAGTTGTCAGTTGTCAAATATTCAAGGATTTTGCAAGCAAGCCAGTTGGTAGCTAGAAATCAGCTTCAGTGGAAATATATACATGGCTGATATCATTATGTGCTACAAATCAGGCTTTCTCTTTTATAACCTGGTTTACCAGCGTACAACTAAATAGTAGTATTAGAAAAAAAAGTCAATTTACTTGTTTATATCAAAATGCATGCATTTATTGGTTTAAAAGATCATGAAATGAAAAAGAAGATGATGGGAGATATTTGCACAAAGTTTGACAGAGGGTTCATGTCAGTGACATAAAAGAGAACATATGATTGAACAGTAAAAACATAACCCCGGTAGAGAAATAGGCAAATAATGTGAACAGGTAATTCACTAAAGGATACAAATTGCCAATAAACTTGAAAAACTATCCAAGAAATTTATAATAAATGAAAACTAAACAATAAGGAGATATCACCTTTCATCTATGAAATCGACCAATCCCAAGGTTCTTAGTTTAGGGAAGTTGGCCTTGCTCATTGTGGTAGAAAAGGTGATTACAGCAAAGAATTGTGCCCAGTTTGTGACTGGACATCATGCAATACTAGGATGAAGGCAAGTTCAGAGAAATTCAGCTAACATTTCTTAGCTTTAGTTGACCATTTTTGCTCTGTTATTTTGTTTTTACTTTAAAGATAAGAATGGAGCTATCAGATTGGATCCTTGAGTGTGCTGACAACAACCCAAAGCAAGGGTTTTAAACATTATTTGAGAAAAGAGATTGTTAGATATCATGTTTTTCACATGGAAATTTTTAAAAATCACTTTTTGAAGAAAGTTTGAACATATCAATGGAAAAGAATTTGAGCACTAGATTCTCTGAAAACCAATTTGTCAAAAAAGACACAATTAGCACTCATTTTATATTAGCCCATGAATGTTCTTTCCCTTTATGAATGAGTTTAAGCAAAACTTTGACCTTGACTCCTCCCTCTTTTCACTTTCTTTTAATAGTGGACCAATCAGAAGGCAAGAAGAAAAGCAAAGCACCTGAAATACACCCAGACTGGCACTGCCACCCCCCGCCTGCTGGCTACAAAGATAAGTATTTTGGATTCAGCCAATAACGATCTGTGGATTATTAACGCCACCTCCTTCATTTTAATGGTGAGTTGATTGTAGCGAAATAGAGCCACAAAGATGTAATTCTATTTTAATACTGGTCTATCAATTAACCCACAGTCCATATTCCACGTGTGAATAGGAGAAAATGGGTTTACACTTACTGTGTAATGTAATTTCAGTGGGATTCAATAGATGGCACAAAAGAGCTCTGCCACCAACATTAAATCTGGTGACCAGTGAAATAAATATTTGAGGAAGTGCGGGAGATGCAGGAAGCTACCCATTGTCTTCACTAGAAGAGAAGTGCAAACAAGGATCCCGGAAGGCTGGTGACCCTGGTACCCACGGCAGGGCCTGAGTTATGCACCGATTGTCTAGTCCTGACAATGGGAGCTCAAGCTATTTCCTGATCAAATAATCTCAGAGTAAATCCTTCTAGTATTTACTGACCTTTATGATAGCCTGTCTGCTACTGCTATTACCTGCCTGACTTAGGGCTTTATGTTTAACCAAAGCTGAATAAAAGGCTGGAGAGGCTTAGGCATCAGTGGAAGTCCTTCCCCTTGAGTTGGACTTACCCGCCTGGCCCCCCAATATTTCCAAATTATCTCTTGTCTCTTCTCTTTCATTTGTGTGCAGCTCCTCTTCCAGATCCTGAACCCTGAACCACGTGGGACATGGGGGAAACACACATACAACAAGGAAGTACTTGAATTTCCTTCAGAGTGACAACAAGATAGACGGGCAGATTGCTTTGGTAAGTGATACATTTTCTTTTAATTCTATAAAATAAAATAATGACATAACCAGTTATTGAACACCAAAATCTCAGGCTCTATGATGAAGTCCTGGGTGTTTATCTAAGTACGTTATTTCTGATATGTACTTACTGTGGTTTGAACGAGCATTTGTTATTCAGTTCCTTGTCCTAAGTCAGAGAAAGGGTTTTTGTATGTATGTATGTTTGTTTTTTTCTTGAATAAGACCTCATCTCAAGCATGATTTGCTTGCCAAAGATATATTTGAGTTGGAAGATGAGGGTTTGGGTCACACACATTTTCTCATGATTTTCTTACGGAGCTGCTAGTTGAGGACTTCAGGTGACCCTGCTCTTTATCCCGTCCCTCTCCACCCACCTCTTGCAATGAGAATGCTGAGGAAAATGGGACGGAGGGGAAGTACTCCTGGAGGCAGTGCTGCCGTACTGTATTTTCGTTTGTTCTCTGGGCTGTTCCCACAAGCTATTCTTTTCTAGTTACTCAGACCACAGAAGCTGTTCCGCGGTGCTCCTCCTCAGGTGGAATTGTAGGTTTCAAAAATGTTTCCCAGGCTTCACCCAATTTGATCAAAAGAGGTGAAAGTGAAAAAAGCGAAAGTTCACAATACCACATAGGAAACAAAGCAGAAGAGCCTTTGAACTGGCTCTGACTCTTTTAACCTGTGGTTAATGCCTTGTTGGTCTGGTGCAGAGAAGACTGACTCAGTATTTGCGAACTGAACTCAATGGGCTAGATGAACGGTGGGGGTATCATCTGTTAAGACAAGTCAACGTCCTGATTTGATGCCCCCAAAGTCTCCAAACAAAGACAATTCAAATGTATTGTTGCATCATATCGTATAGTGGGAGGCTAAACTTACCACAATCATGTAAGTTGACATAGATAGATCTTACTTTTATACTTTCAAATTGAAGCATCCTTTTACTAATCAACTTAGCAAATAACTATTCTATTTGGTAGTAAACTAGTTTTGGGGTTATAATATATAGGAGATTCAGTGCTGGTTATTAGGACTTTGATGAAAAAATATTGATTTTTCACTGATTTAGCTAGTCTTTCTAAAATAGAAAGATCCTGTAAGTACCTAAGACTCAGTTGCTCATCTGTACAATACTTTGACTCTTTAATTACAGGAATAAAGATTCTTTCACCAACTGAGTAGTTCAAATTAGTGATTATAATTGGAAAGGCAAAATGGAAGTTGGGCAAATAGAAGATAGCGGAGTCAATTAATTTTGCTAGATATAAAGCTGAAGCCATGCTCTCATTAAATGCTTGGGGACAGACAGTCATATAAATGTAGATCTTTGTGGTGATTACTGTTGTTAATGAAATGAGGACACCTCTGGTCTTGCTTGTGGTGGGTCCACTGCGCACGAAGCCCTCCTGTCCATGCATGGGGTTCTGTCTCTGACCCTCATCTCTCTGGTCACTTCCTGTATATCATGCCTGACTATACTGATCACTGCTTCTTTGAACTGTGGAGTTGGCCAGAAGGTAGAAAGATCCCAGATTTGAATTCAGGCTTAAGAATAAGTAAGGACCCCACTTGAGCCTTAAACCCAAACCACTTTTACTTCGACTTACTTTTACCAGATGGTTCTGTTTTGAAATATTAGGCACTGGCCCAGGCAATATCAAGTATCATTTTGATGCTCATTTAAGTACTTCTTTTCATGCGAGTAGCTCTTTCAGGAAGCTGGGAGGAAGAATGGGGAAATTTCTGGGACTTTCAGCCAAATATAACCAACACCATAAAAATGCCATGTTTACTTTTAATATGCATTTTAATGTGTGTATCCCCCTCCTTGCACAGAGTCTCCATGAGTAGTGATGGAGGGGATGGTACCATGCCTTCTCCTATATTAGGAGAAATCAGGATAACACGGGATTATTGAGCACCTCTACAAAAAGGTAAGTCCAAGCAATGTTTCAAAACCAGATGCATCTGCACATCTAACTTGGGGAGCTTTTGCAATGCAGGGTTGTATCTGGGACTTGATGCAACCTTTGGTGCTCATGGGGGATGGTACCCAAATCATTGGATGCTTAAGTCTCCTATATAAAACTAGAGGCCCAGTGCATGAATTCGTGCATGGGTCGGGTCTGGCCAGCCTGCCCCAATTGGGTTGGGAGGGCCGATCAGGGGTGGGGCTGGCAGGGGGAGGGGCCGTGGATGGTCACACTCCCGGTCAAACTCCCGGTTGAGGGGACAATTTGCATATTAGCCTTTTATTATATAGGATGGTGCAATATTTGCATATAACCTAAGCACATCCTCCCATATACTTTAAATCATCTCTAAATTACTTTTAATACCTAAGACAGTGTTAATGCTATGTAAATAGTTGTTATATTGTTGAGGGAATAATGACAAGAAAATAAGTCTGTACATGTTCAGTAGAGATGCAACCATCTTAGACCAAGAACATAGTACATATCAGCAATAATATAACATTTTTTTAAAGAAAATTTTGGTCTGTGATTGGTTGAATCAATGAATGCAGAATACAAGGATTCAGAGGGTCAACTGTGCCCACTGGGAGATATGAGAGGATATATAAAGAGGAATTTGGTGCTTTGTTGATACTGATGACTTCCTTGTCTAAGGATTTTGAATAAGATCCTTGCAAGATCTGTGTAGCCATGTAGCATCAGCTCAAAATGTGGGTGAGAGGTGTATTACTCTCTAGGGCTCATCTCAACCCAACTCCTGTCTCATGTGCCATTGGAATGGTGGTTACAAAATAATCTGAGCTATAGTGGGTTGATAACTAATGCAATAATCATAACCTAGAATAAAACACTTCATAGGAATAAATACACACTGGATGAGTGAATTTAAGAGGAGGAAACTTCTCCCATCCTCAAAACCTTTCTCCGCTCACTGCCCCCTCATCACTCTCAGAATAGAACCCCAACTCCTGGCAATGATCTACACACTGTGCAACCTTGGCCCTGACTCCTCTCATCCTGCTCACTCCATGCTAACATTGACGTCCTCACCATGCCTCAGACAAGTCAGTCTCACCTCCATCTCAGGACCCTTCCACTTGCCTTCTTCTTCTCCAGAAATGCTTCCCCCCCAGCTCTTCCCATAGATTACTCATTCACTTCATTCTCCTCCCCCCTCCTCCACCCCTCCCCGTCATGCACCAGAGCTGTCTGCCTATTCTCTGAGTCTGTTTGAATTTTGCTTGGTAGTACAGTTTGTTCATTAAATTCCACATATGAGTAAAATTATGTAGTACTTGTCTTTCTCTGACTGGCTTATTTCACTTTGCATAATGTTCTCCAGGGACATCCATGGCTGCTACAAAGAGTAAAATATTCTTCCTTCTCATGCCTGCCATTACTCTTGATTAATTACCCTGTTTTATTTTTCTATATAGCACTTATTACTACATGAAATTACATTTAGCATTTATTTGTTTATTTTCTGTCTCCCCACTAGGTAATAAGCTCCTTGATAATTGGAATTTTTCCTTGTTCACTGCGTTATCTCCAGTTCCTAAAAGATGGCCAATAGGTTGTCAATAAATACTGATTGAATAAATAAATGGCTTTTCTGAAAGGCTGTTTATTATGATCTAATTACCTTTTGAGTAAGACCAAAGATAGGCACCAAGCCATGTGTAAATTTAAAAAGGTAATATAAAAGGGGTCTGAATTCAACCACATGGGAAGAAAACACTTAAGAAAGCCATCAGAAAATATATGGCAAAGGTAGAAAGTACACCAGCTGTGTACACCTAGCTCAAGTTCTAAATGATCTTGGGAGGGTTAGGGTCAGAGGACTTTGTGAATATCTAAAACCATCTGTATTAGTTTCCTGTGACTGCTGTAACAAATTACCATAAATTTGGTAGCTTCAAACAACATTTTCTCATGGTTCTGGAGACCAGAAGTCCAAAATCAAGGTGTCAGCAGGGCTGTACTCTCTCTAGGGCCTCTTCCAGCTTCTGATAGCTATCATCGTTCATTGACTTGTGGCTGTTTCACTCCATCTCTGCCTCTGTCTTCATATGGCCTTCTCCTCTGTGTCTCTGTTATTTGCTCTTCTGTCCCTGTCAAATACCCCTCTGCCTTTCTCTTATAAGGACACTTGTCATTGATTTAAGGACCACCTGGATATTCTAGTATGATCTCAAGGTCCTTAATTATCCCTGCAAAGACCATTCCCTGCCTCCCCCTCCCTCCCCCCAATAAGACAACATTCATAGTTTCTGGAGATTATGACATGGTTAGGAGGTGGACATATCTATTGGGAGGGGGCACCTTTCAAGTCATTACACCGTAGATGCAGGATAATTATGTATCGATATGTGTATTTCCCTGGTTTTAGGTTATATGACTCCAAAAAAGGTAGCCTACATGTTATGAGTCTCTAGTAAAAAAATGTTTAATATCAACCATGCCCAATTTAATGCAATCATTTAATGTGGATTTTTTTTCTAGGATCTGTATCTATATCAAGATGCTCTGAAGAATAGCAACTATCCTCAGGAACATCTAGTGTTACAAAATGACTAAAACTAATTCTACCATCTTCCATTTTGTCATCATCTTCATGTTCATACTTGAGATCAAAATCCAGTTATCCGAGGAAAGTGAATTTTTAGTTGACAGATCAAAGGGAGGTCTCACCCATGTTCCCAAAGACTTACCCTTGAAAACAACAATCTTAGATCTATCACAAAATGATATATCTGAGCTTCAGGCTTCTGACATCCTATTACTATCCAAGCTGAGGGTCTTGAGAATTTCTCATAATAGAATCCAGTATCTTGACATGAGCGTTTTCAAATTTAACCAGGAACTGGAGTATTTGGATTTGTCCCACAACGAGTTGGAGAAGATTTCTTGCCACAGTACTGTGAACCTCAAGCACTTAGACCTCTCATTTAATGCATTTGATGCCCTGCCCATTTGCAAAGAGTTTGGCAACATGTCTCAACTAGAATTTCTGGGTTTGAGTGCCACACAGCTACAAAAGTCTAGTGTGCTGCCAATTGCTCATTTGCATATCAATAAGGTTTTACTAGTCTTAGGAGACCTTTATGGGGAAAAAGAAGACCCCGAGAGCCTTCAAGACCTTAACACAGAGAGTCTGCACGTTGTTTTCCCCGCAGGAAAGGAATCCCACTTTGCTTTGGATGTGTCAGTCAGCACGGCAGTAAGTCTGGAACTGTCTAATATCAAATGTGTGCTAGGTGATAATGGATATTCTTATTTCCTAAGTGTTCTGTCAAAACTTCAAAATAATTCAAGGATATCAAATCTTACTTTAAACAACATTGAAACAACTTGGCATTCTTTCATTACAATGTTCCAGTTGGTGTGGCATACAAGCATAGAGTATTTCTCAATTTCAAATGTGAAACTACAAGGTCGCCTTCAGGTCAGAGATTTTAATTATGCTGACACCTCACTGAAGGCCTTGTCTATACACCAAGTTGTCAGTGACATGTTTAGTTTGCCACAAAGTTACATCTATAAAATCTTTTCAAATATGAACATCCAGAATTTCACAGTGTCTGCTACACATATGGTCCACATGGTCTGCCCATCCCAAATGAGCCCATTTCTGCATTTGGATTTTTCCAATAATCTCTTAACAGACATGGTTTTTAACAATTGTGGAACCTTGGCTAGGTTGGAGACACTTAGTTTACAAATGAATCAACTAAAAAAACTTACAAATATAGTTCATATGACCAAGGAGATGAAGTCTCTACAACAATTAGACATTAGCCAGAATTCTCTAAGCTATGATGAAAATGAAGAATATTGCTCTTGGACTATAAGTTTATTAAGTTTAAATTTGTCTTCAAATATACTCACTGACTCTGTTTTCAGATGTTTACCTCCCAGGCTCAGGGTTCTTGATCTTCACAGTAATAGAATAACAAGTATCCCTGAAAATGTCATCCGTCTGGAAGCTTTGCAAGAACTCAATGTTGCTTCCAATTCTTTAGCCCACCTTCCTGGATGTGATTCCTTCAGCAGCCTCTCTGTGCTGATCATTGACTATAATTCAATTTCCAACCCATCAGCTCATTTCTTCCAGAGCTGCCAGAAGATTAGGTCCATAAACGCAGGAAACAATCCATTCCAATGTACATGTGAGCTCAGAGAATTTATCCGAAGTATAGGCCAAGTTTCCAGTGAAGTGGTAGAGGGTTGGCCTGACTCTTATAAGTGTGACTATCCAGAAAGCTATAAGGGAACCCTACTAAAGGACTTTCATGTGTCTCCATTATCCTGCAACACAGCTCTGCTGATTGTCACCATTGGGGTCACTGGGCTGGTGTTGGCTGTCGCCGTGACTGTCCTCTGTGTCTATTTCGATCTGCCCTGGTATCTCAGGATGGTGTGTCAGTGGACCCAGACCCGACACAGGGCCAGGAACACACCTTTACACAAACTCCAAAGAACTCTTCAGTTCCATGCCTTTATTTCGTACAGTGAACACGATTCTGCCTGGGTGAAGAATGAATTACTACCAAACCTAGAAAAAGAAGATATATGGATCTGTCTCCATGAGAGAAACTTTGTTCCTGGCAAGAGCATTGTGGAAAATATCATAAACTGTATTGAGAAAAGTTACAAGTCCATCTTTGTTTTGTCTCCCAACTTTGTTCAGAGCGAGTGGTGCCATTATGAACTCTACTTTGCCCACCACAATCTCTTTCATGAAGGATCTAATAACTTAATTCTGATCTTGCTGGAATCCATTCCAATGTATTCTATTCCTGGCAGCTATCACAAACTCAAAACTCTCATGGCACAGCGAACTTACTTGGAATGGCCGAAGGAGAAGAGCAAACATGGACTTTTTTGGGCGAACCTAAGAGCATCCATTCGAATTAAGTTGATGTACCAAGCAAAAGAAGTAGATCACACATACATCTAAATATGTTCCCCCTTTCACTTGCTGCTTTTGGAAGTTCCAACAATGCCTTTATTTTGCATCAACACAAACCTAAACATAATTTTGAATTTATAAAATAAATAAAAATGCGTACTTTCAGGCCCCTGTTCACCATTTATTCATGGTAATAAAAATGAATGAAATGATATAATTTTGATATAAAGTCAATTTCTAACATATGAGGGATTTACTTGTTTTTTTTTCTAGAACTGAATTCATTGAATCTATCATGTAATTAAAAGAAGCACCTATTTAAAGAACTTCAATGATACATGTTCCTGTGTGCTGGGGTTAATGTTAGAAAACTCCATGCCTTTTACTAGTACACCTGTAGCTGGGTTGGTATAGCTGTTGGTGCGTTTTTCATTTCCACTTAGCGTTTTCTTCTATGTGTTGAAAGCTGCGTATTGGTAATGCTGGAGACTCTTTGCCTGATGGGCTTTCTTGCTGGCCGTGAGAACATACTTGGTCCACAAAATGGGCAGTTCAGAAATGCTGGAGCTTGTCCTTGGAAGCAGCCCTTAATCAATGCTTAATCAATGTCAGAGGGAGAATTGGCAGGTAAGTACCATTTTCTCGCCCATTTTGGGGGATAAATCTGGGAGTGTCCTTTACACTCTCCCTGAGTTCCCCAGTGACATAGAATTCTGATTTTCCATGGGGGAAAACAACTTGGCAAAGCATTCCTTATTGGGTTACTTTTTATTCTTATCTCATCCCTCCAAGGGTGTTTCCTGGGATCAGCTCTGAAATAAATGGCCTGTAGATGAATACTTGTCTCAGGGTCTGCATCTGGGGGAACCCAAGCCAAGAGTTTGTTGCATCTCAGGCCAAATGGAAATTCTGAGTCTGGTTTTCCATGGCGGGAGGTCTTGCTGAGATTCTAGTTGTCTGAGCTGGCATGTAGGAGAGCCTTTGCTCTTTGGGTCAGAGGAGGAATGTAGTCAGTGTGTTCTGCTTCTATACTAGTTCCCTTTGGGGAACTATTAAAATAGGGCATGGGCAGATTGGAGCAATGAAAGAAATGGGTTCTATCAGATATTTATTTCCAGATTTATTTTACCAGATATTTGTCTTACTCATAAAATATTCTGCCTACCCTTTTACTTTGGCAGCCAACTCTGGGCTGGTGTAGCCTGACAGCCCCTTGTCATAACTGCCCCCTGTACCTCTCACTTTATGTCCTGTGGCTTCACTAAGACCACTGTACAGGATGTTTGTAGAAGCTTGTTCAACCATTCTGGTATATGCACAAACCTAGCAGTGCCATAGATATCCCCTGAGGAGATCCTTAACCACTTAAATATTCCTCTCTTTTATTTTTGGGGTAAAAAAAATGAGGCATAATCCAGTGATGGACATTTAGCGAGACTTATTGTGGTGATCATTTCACAATATATACATATATCAAATAATTACGCTGTACAGCTGAAACTAATATAATGGTATATGTCAATTATACCTCAATATTTTAAAAAGTCCACCGTAATAAAAGAAAAATAAATGAGGCATAGTCTACACCATTTCTCAAAGAGTCCCCAACAGAATTGAGCCTTACTTACTCATAGGATTAACCAGATCAATAACTCACTTTTGGATTGGCTTTCTCTTCCTTGTTTCATTCTTCTTAGCTCCCTTGCTCTAAAGCCCTGAGATTAAATCTTCAAACAAATTATCTTCACACAAAGCTCTTGTCTCCGTCTCCACTTCTGGGAAGAGAAACCCAAATAACACATACATATACTAGTTGCTTCTTGTCCTAAGAAACTTAGTTATCCAGATAACTACAATAAAAATCAACAAAACAAAAATATACAACTGAAGTTCAGAGACCATTTAGATTGACTGAAGAAAATCTTAGAAATAATGTTTTTTTCACTGGGCCTTGATGGAAGACATTAATTTTGGATTTTTCAATGTGTGATAAAGAATAGAAAGGTCATCCTAAGTAGAGAGATGAAGAAAAAAAAGGATAGAAATACCCAGGCCTATTTTGAGACTGGTGTGTCAATTTGACTGAACCATGAAGTTTGTGAAAAATGACAGTGAGATATAAGCATGGAAAGTTAGATTAAGATAATTTTGTCAAGGCTCTTGAAATACAAGGTATGGAGTTAGAACTTAGGGATGTAGGAAAGTCATCATTTAAACTTTTATAAGGAATAATAGTGGAAACCAAATTAAAACCATGAAATATATGCTAAAAATGTACGAAAGCTCTTGTTGTGTAATGGAAGTTGCAAACAGAACTGGATTTTCTTGTTTTTTCAAGGATGATTGCGCATGCTGTATTGAACTTCAATATTGCATAACCAAGTTTCAGTTGCTCAGCACCACTTGTGTCTTAGTTTGCTAGGGCTGATATGCTGAAGCTCTGCAACCTAAGTGGCCAAAGCAATAGAAATTTATTGGTTGACAGTTCTGGAGGCTAGAAGTCCAAAATCAAGGTGATGGCAGGGTTGGTTGTTTCTGAGTGGGAGAGAAGAACAGTTAAAAGCCTCTTCTTCTTAACTTATAGAGAGCTATCTTTCCCTGTGTTTCTCTTTTTGTAATCCCCACCAGAAGATATATATTTTTTTCCATTGGTTTGTATTTTTTTAATTAAATCTTTATTGTTCAGATTATTACATTGGTTCCTCTTTTTTCCCACCATAACTCCCCTCCACCCAGTTCCCACCCCACCCTCCGCCCTCACTCCCCACCCACTGTCCTCATCCATAGGTGCACGATTATTGTCCAATCCCCCCCCAAGAATAGTCAGTCCATTCCCTTTCTATGTCCCTGATTCTATTATAATCACCAGTTCATACTGTTCATCAGATTATTTATTCACTTGATTTTTAGATTCACTTGTTGATAGATGTGTATTTGTTGTTCATAATTTGTATCTTTACCTTTTTCTTCTTCTTCCTCTTCTTAAAGGATACCTTTCAGCATTTCATATAATACTGGTTTGGTGGTGATGAACTCCTTTAGCTTTTCCTTATCTGTGAAGCTCTTTATCTGACCTTCAATTCTGAATGATAGCTTTGCTGGATAAAGTAATCTTGGTTGTAGGTTCTTGCTATTCATCACTTTGAATATTTCTTGCCACTCCCTTCTGGCCTGCAAAGTTTCTGTTGAGAAATCAGCTGACAGTCGTATGGGTACTCCCTTATAGGTAACTGACTTTTTTTCTCTTGCTGCTTTTAAGATTCTCTCTTTGTCTTTTGCTCTTGGCATTTTAATTATGATGTGTCTTGGTGTGGTCCTCTTTGGATTCCTTTTGTTTGGGGTTCTCTGCGCTTCCTGGACTTGTAAGTCTATTTCTTTCACCAGGTAGGGGAAGTTTTCTGTCATTATTTCTTCAAATAGGTTTTCAATATCTTGCTCTCTCTCATCTTCTGGTACCCCTATAATTCTGATGTTGGTACGTTTGAAGCTGTCCCAGAGGCTCCTTACACTATCTTCGTATTTTTGGGTTCTTTTTTCATTTTGCTTTTCCGGTTGGGTGTTTCTCGCTTCTTCGCATTTCGAATCTTTGACTTGATTCTTGCGCTCCTCTGGTCTGCTGTTGGGAGTCTGTATAATATTCTTTATTTCAGTCAGTGTATGCTTACTTTCTAGATGGTCCTTTATCACACCATCGAGGGTCTCATTAGATTTCCTGTACATCTCATCAAGTTTATCGACAGACTCTAGAAGCCTCTTGAGAGACCTCAAAAGTGTGGTTCTGAACTCAATATCCTCCCTTGATAGTTTTGTCCTGTTTCTTTGTCTCCGCATTTTTTACGCTTTCTTGGTACACCCCCTAGTGGTCTTTGTGCGCAGTCTTGTTGTAGTTAAGCCTTGATTGTTGTAGTTAATACTAGAGGGATTTGACCTCCAGGCCGACTGGCTGTGTTAATCAGCTGTGTCTGCAGTGGAAGAACTTGTGTCCTCTAGGGAGGTGCTAATCTAGCCTTTGCCTGAGGCAATCCGGCAAATGGCTCTGCGCAGGGCTTGGGCGGGGCGGGATCAACAGGGCAGGGCGGGCGGAGGGAGCGGTTATGGCTGCCCTCAGTCCCGTTCCCAGAGGCTCTGCTTCTCAGAACCCCAGGAACCGCTGCAAACCTCGGAGAGAAAGCTGCCCTCGCGTTCCGACCAATGCCAGACAGTCCCGCTTCTCCCGTTTGAGTCTGGGTCCCTAGAGACTCGCCCGGATCTGAAGCTCAGAGTCTGAGACTCCCTCCTGATTGAAAACGACAACCGCGCCCTCAGCCACCAGCCCACGCCTTGCGCACTCCGCACCTTAGTATTTTACTTCAGCACTGCGCCTCCTCTGATTCTCAGTTCCTCCTAGTTGTAGAACTTCCACTCAGCCAGCCTTCCTGTGGTTCTGGATGATGTCCGTTCCGTCTTTTAGTTGTATTTTGTAATCGCTGCAAGCACCTCTGAGAGAAAGCCGCCCTCGAGTTCCGACCGATGCCAGACAGTCCAGTTTCTCCCCATATGTCTCCAGAGACTCGCCTGGAACTGGAGTTCAGAGCAGTTGGGAGCTTGTTACTCCCTCCCGATTGAAAAAGACAACCGTGTCCTCAGTTGCCAGCCCTTTCCGCGTGCGCCTCCGTACCTCTGCACTTTACTTCCTCTGAGTCTCAGTGTGCTTTTCTCTTTCCTTCTAGTTGTAGAAATCCCACTCAGCCAGCCTTCCTGTGGTTCTGGATGATGTCCGTTATGTCTTTTAGTTGTATTTTTGAAGTGGTTGTGCGAGGCAGCAATCTCCGGTGTTTACCTGTGCCGCCATCTTCAGAAGATATATTTTGATTGATTTTAGAGAAAGAGAGAGGAAGGGGGAGAGAGAGAGAGAGAGAGAGAGAGAGAGAGAGAGAGAGAGAAAGATTGGTTGGTTGCCTCCCGTACTCACCCTGACTGGGCTCAAACCTGCAGCCACGGTATGTGCCCTGACCAGAAATTGAAACTGCAACGTTTTGGTGTATAGGATGATGCTCCAACCAACTGAGCCACCTGGCCTGGGCTTTTCCTGTATCTCTTTACATCATCTTCCCTCTATGTCTCCCTGTCTCCAAATTTCCCTTCTTTATAAAGACACCAATCATTGGATTAGGGCCCACCCTAATGACCCAATCTTAGCTAATAATATCCACAATGATTCTATTTCCAAATAAGGTCACACTCTGAGGTTCTGGGTTCAGGACTTCAGCAAATGAATTTTGGGGGACAGAGTTCAATTCATTACATCTTGCAAATCAGAAAAATATCCTTAATTGGAGGCATAAACTCAATTAAAGTTTCCCTATCAAATTCAAGATTTTAAGAAGAGAAGTTAGATTA